ATTTTAATAATGTTTCAGGAATATTAAAATATAATACCTAGGTTTATTATATAAGTGGACATATAACCTCTATAGAATACTCTTGTAATATTAAAAAAATATTTATGATATTTTCGAAATATTATAATAACATTATTTTAATTTTTTTTTAAATAATATTCATGTAACATTCTAGGAACATTTTGCGCTTATAGGGCTCTTTCTCGCTTTCGCCAAATATTAAATATATTAAGAATCTTATAACAGTTGCTAAAATAATTCTTTTTCTGTTGAACTCTCCTTTAACTTCTTTTTGTAACGGCACCTGTTATTTTATGAAGATCAATACGACAGATGTTTTGTTGATGCATTATTAATAGCGAATTCGGTTGGACGCTAAGTACGCACTAGTGCGCACTTAAAGCCGTTGTATACTTATTAATTAATCTGTATAAAAATAAAACGCAAATAGATATTTCGAGTTATGAAATACAAATTTTACTTAACAGCACAATAAAATGTATCAAGGATTTCATCAATTTCATTTCAGTTTAATCCGTTTTTATATTTATATTAAATACATAATTTTACGTCAATTTGTGCACAATAGCTTTAATACGCACACAGTACATTCAATCGAATTCTTGAGTGATCGCCTTGATTGGACAGACCTATTATTTCTTGTTTAATTGATAATGCGAGGTCTACAATAGAAGTCGTAACGGTCGTAGGGTCTTAAGTTGTAGAAAATTGATCAATCACAGTTGATTATTCTTCTCATATTCGACTGTGATTGGTCAATTTTCTACGACTTAAAACCCTACGACTTAAAACCCTACGACTGCTACGACTTCTATTGTAGACCCTGCATAAGACTTTCAGATTACTCGGTTCTGTTATTGGTCTAATGCGGGGTCTACAATAGAAGTCGTAGCGGTCGTAAGGTCTTAAGTCGTAGAAAATTGACCGATCACAATTGATTATTCTTCTCATATTCGACTGTGATTGGTCAATTTTCTACGACTTAAAACCCTACGATCGCTACGACTTCTATTGTAGACCCCGCATAAAGCTGATTCTACATTAGTCGCATAGCAGCGTCGCAAGCATTGCAGTCCAATCAGAATCGAGCTAGCATGACGTTGATTGGACCGCAACGCTTGCGACGCTGCGATGTGGGGTCTACAATAGAAATCATAGCAGTCGTAGGCTGCGTTCGGGAAGACGCTATTGGCGCTATTTGTGTCATTCTATCTTCATTATCCACTAGACGTGAAACAAGGATAGCATGACATAATAGCGCTGATAGCGCGCTCCCCGAACCCAACCATAGTATTAAGTCGTAGAAAATTAACCAATCAGTCGAATATGAGAAAAATAATCGACTGTGATCGGTCAATTTTCTACGACTTAAGACCTTACGACCGCTACGACTTCTACTGTAGATCCCGCATATTATTAGCTGACCGCTGAAGTTGTGTGATTCCTGGTGGTTCCTAGCTCAAAAAAAGGATTTATGTACGGCACTGTATTACGTCATAAAGATCGTAAGTTTCTTTTACAGCTGTTCAGCATGTTTTGACAAAAGATGTTATTATCGCGCGAATGTGGATATTATTATGTAACACTATTGGTAACACAGAGTCTCGCGATGACGTTGATGACAGTCTAAAATGGTCTAAACTTTTTAATAAGAGTGCCACGATATATACTGTAATTTGTGCGCTGTCCTAGGGTTAGAAAGTTTCAGCCATGGCATACCCGGTAATTCTAAATAACAATTGTGACGATTACACTTGCACGCAGTGACAATACGACGATGCACGCTTTATTCTATCATTTCAGTTTATTATAAATCTCCGAATCGCCTGATACGCGCACGTTAAATTAATACAATTAATTCTGACGCACGGACGAGAAGTTGGCGCCTGATTTCGTTTGCAGCTTGTACGACTACGATTTTCCTCTCTATTTATCTTATCCGTTCCTTCAAGAGCGCGATGTACGGCTCCACTGATCCAGGATCAGAAATAAATCCAGAGGTACAACGATGGTTCTCCACAGTGGACAAAGACGGAAGCGGACGAATAACTGCTGCAGAATTGCAGTCGGCATTGGCCAACGGTCAAGGGGGTACTTTTTCTGACACAGCGTGCAAATTAATGATCGGTATGTTTATAGGTCTTGTACAACAAAGAAAATACAATACGTCGAATCTTGAGTTCTCTCTTCACAAGTTATAAAAATATCAGCAATATTAATTTTATTTCCTTCGCAGGCATGTTTGACAAAGAACATGATGGTACTATAAACATCACGGAATTTCAAGCTCTTTACAATTACATAAATGCTTGGCTTGGCGTATTTCGTGGCTTTGACCATGACAATTCGGGTAGTATACAAGAGAGTGAATTAAACGCAGCCCTAACACAAATGGGCTATAGGCTTAGTTCGGAGTTTATTCAATTCCTCATAAAAAAGAGTGATGTTCGTGGTCATCAGTCCATTACTGTCGACCAATTTATAGTATTGTGTGTTCAAATACAGAGGTTTACAGGTAACTAAAGATACTTGTGTAGAAGAAATAGAATTTTATAATTTTTATCATTTACTGATTTATTTAGAGATTTGATGCTAATTGTAAACATCTGTACATGCAATAGTTGACAATATTTAATATAATTTAAGTACGTTTGTTTATTAAAATATATCAAAGCCTTTTATATATTACAAAGGCTTTGAAGCATTTGATTGACTAATCAGAAAAAAGAATTTTATAAATTGATTAACAGAAGAAATGCTTCAAAGTATTATTGATTAGCATCATTGACCATACTTTATATTACAGAGGCATTTAGAACAAGAGATACGCAACAAACTGGATCAATTACTATTGGATTTGAAGACTTTTTGGGAGTAGCTCTTAGTTGCAGTATATAACATCTTCATATCTTGATAATAATATAGTTAAATTACTTTTATATACCTATGTATGTTGAAAAAGTTATTGTTTAGGTTTAGGTTTACAAGTTCAGGGACTAAAAGTTCTATTTTTTTATCTTAGGAGATAATGTAAAATGGCGGTTCATATGTATAAGTATTTGGGCTTCTTAGGTTTAAGATATCTATTTGTACTTGGAAATTTCTCTATGTTCTTTTCGCCACTAAGCTTCGCCGCTAATAATTTAATTAATTTTAACGATATTTTTAAAGTAAGATAAGATTATTGATAAATACAAGAAACGCCAAAAAATTATGCTTAAATTATGCTTATGCCGATTCTGCTGATGTAAGGGTGAAATCACACGATGCAAAACAGTACCTCAAATGACAATGAAACGGTTTTACTTTTACATTCATATATGTTAATAATATTACTTAACGAAATGTTTAAATAAAAATAAATATCACATGACAAAAACACAATACATTATATTGGGCAATATCCCACGGCTTTTTGTGTGTTACCAAGTGTTACTAAGACCCTTGTACTATCGAATGTTCACGTGTGTTTATAATTACTATCTTTATCTATAAGGATACAGATGTGAAGTTCTATCTGGAGGTATGCTTGAAATAAATAAGAATTTTCTTTATACAGATACTTTGAGAATAATACAGATGTTTCAAATTTACGAGACTACAAAGTTATATTACTCCACATGAAACAGGCCCGAGAAAGAATTCAAGAGTTTGAACGATTACAAAAAGCGCGACATCTTTTAGATGCCATTTCATTACTAAACGATTTGCTTGCTGATGGTTCTGAAATAGAAATACTATCGCTTGCTGAAATAATAGTGAGAAGATTAAAAAAGTTGGGTGTGACAAATATAATGGCAGACAAGGAAAACGGTATGTATTCGATATATACGAGTTTTCTTTACGATGCGATATAAGAATAAATTTTATACATATAAAGAAAACTCATATATTCCTTTTGCAGAATATTGGAATAAAAATATGGGATTATCAGCTTCGAGGCTTACACATAACGGTATTTATCATTGTTGTACATTTTGCTCCAGTGGTGGAAAAAAAGAAATTATTTGTGGCTGCAGAGGTACCATGCCTGGTAAGGATTAATTTCAGAAATTAAATCTTTAAGTAATAACTACGGAACATGTATTAAACCATAAAAACAAATTTTTGTATTCTATAGTATTGTAACACATTTACAAAAAAGAGCAATTTTTAATAGGTCCTATTTACAATTTAGACATAAGCAAATTAGATAAAGGATAATTAATTTTTATAAAGGTGGTTACAAAGGTTGTGGCCATGGACATATTGGACATCCAGGTTTTAACCATTGGTCTTGCTGTGGATCTATATTACGTAATGGACGTTGCTTAATTGTACGAAAAACTATGCACCAACTTATATTGTAAGTTTTAATAAATTAATAAATATATCTTTGTGTATGAATATAATTTAGATATTACAATTTAAAAAAAATGAAAACATTAATTACGCCTTGATTTTTAAAAGATATGAAAATTTCAAGAGATTAAGTATATTGTATGTTTACTCAATTGAGATATTCGGATTTATAATTTTTTAAACAATTTCATACACAACTGCAGTTTTTTTTATGAGAAACTTCTAATTAAAAGTTGCGTAAAACTTTAGATCTGTTTTTTATTCCTGTATTAGACTACACTAGAACTCTCTTTTTCGCTTTCGCGAAATACGAAATATATATACTTATCTCACTTTAAGTTCCAAAAGTGTAAACTAGTTCAGCCACAAAAAACAGATCTTTTATTTCAAGCAAATAAGGTAATCTTATATACAGTATTCAAATCTTATCTTGCAACAGCTTATATTGATCATTAAACTTAATAATTTAAATCATGCAGTAATACTTAACAAAGTAATGATGGTTATTGAGCATCTCTGTTCGAAAAAAGCAGAAAAGTAAGAAGAATAGAGAAAATATGGAATTTATATTATGCTTTTTATCTTACCTCAATTTTATCGTTGTTTAAGCGAAATGTATGTAACGATGTATATAAATTAATACTATTAATCTCACACATACACATACACACACACACACGCACACTATAAACATATATATATACACATAAATTAATATACATATATAAATTAAATTATGTTAATTTATATATATAGATATTTTTTATATATTTCTTTGTCAATATATTTACATATATATAAGGTATATACATAAAATCAGGTGCTATTTACATTTGTATTATTTATTATTAGTTACAAATGTTTGTACTATATTTAACTAAACTTAAACATAAAATGTTTCAAAACATACATCAGTCGCAATGTAACTTATTTCTTGCTTAATATTGCTTAATGTTATATTAACAAAAATATATAAATCAAATCGTAAAATTATTTTAATAATTCTAATCGGTTTGTGTATCAGTCAAAGAGCTTTGGAATGTATGCTTTGTACCTCAAATGACAATTATATCTTTTCCGCTTGCTACTCCCATATTAATCACATGACAATTATATTACGGTGTACTAACACCAATAAGAATTATTGCGCACGTGCACATTTGTGGTCTTATACACATTGAACGCTGCATTTTTATTATATATAAAAAAAAACATTCATAAATTTTGAAACATGTGTAGTAAATTTTAAATCTATAGATTTTTATATTACAAAACTGGAAATCATATAAATCACATTGTGCAAATGCGAATTATATAAAATTCATTATACAATGTTTCAGAATTTATATTTTAATTCATAAACTGAACATACCTGCAAATCTTGGCTACATTGTGTGCTTCTTCAAGATCATTAGTTGAAAATACGTCGTGATTGTATTGAATCAATAGATTATTTAGATACATCCTTGCTTTCTGCAACATCGTTGCTAAGTACGTACCAACTCTTTTTCCCACTCCAACAGCATCTTCACTAGCGTGACCTCTATGTTGTATACTCCACATGCATTCCTTGCACGTTACCTGAAAATATATATTATTATTTACTTATAAACCTTATAAAATAATAAATCATTAAGTATATAGTAAATGAAAAAGAATTTATACGACCTCAACAATGAAAGTATCAATTGTTTGAAGTCGAATGCATTTTCTTTGTATACATAATGCAATATTAAAAAGTAGGAAGAAAAAATTTTTGTAAACCTGCTGACACGCGATACAATAAAATCTTAAAGCGTGCGTCGGGTGTATTTGACATAAAATCGTTCGTCGTACTTTGGTAGCCTCCCATAGTGGCCTCATTAAATGTTTAATTGTTCTTGTTTCCGCAATGTTTTGTTGTTCATGTTGCCTGCCGCATTCCGAGCAAAAATTGCACAAACACGTTGAACATTGTACGAGTGCCTTAAAAGAATAATATGCGGAAAATAATATAAAACATTTCTACTTTGCGATAAAATGAAAAATTTAAAGAATGCAATAATAATATCTAGATCGTCGCAGATTGGATTGTACCAGAATTTCGCCTGTGCAGGTATCGCAAAGTACTCTATTGACTAGTTTACGTCGCACAGTGTCCATAACTGAACGGTGTTGCAAGGGATAATGCGGTGGCGGTACAGCAGAATTAGCATTTGGCAAATGCGAGTCGCATAACGGACACGTTTCGTAAATACCGGGTTGTGTGTAAATTCGATTTTTATCTCGTATTTCGCTCTTTGAAGGAGCTGCAAGAATATAATTCTATCAATATGAATTCTATTCAATCTTCATAACAAATCATTAATATTATTATTAAAAATTGAATTGTTTTTCCCTTTGTTGAAATTAAATTTTTCTTTCGCCACTTACTCTTACTCATCAATTCGTAAACGCAAGATAAACATATAGGATGCAAACAAGGAAGGAGTCTAGGTTCCTCCATTCTCTGCCCACATCTGGGACATTGAAAATCTGTATCGTGCGGCAACCTATATGAAGAATGCATCGGTTCTCTCAGATCTTCTTCGACTTCGCTGCCCATTTTGTTGTGAATGAAAACGGGGGAAGGCTGATATGCAAAAACATTCGATTTCGGCGAAGGTGCACGTCTTTTCCTGGAATCTTCGTTACTGAAAATAATTAAGGACATTTATAAACATTGTAAAAATAAAAAAAGGTCTTGAAAATTCTATTCACATCAGCTGTGCGATTAACATTTTACATAATATAATGAATTATAATTTTAACTTGATTCAAAGAGGCTTATTATATGTTAAATCATATGTCACATATTAATAAATTTTAATTTAAAGATGTATCGCTCACCGTTTGTTCGTAGATGCTATCGTCATTGGTTCAACGTGAACGAAATCTTCAGTATTTATACCTTTGCTCTTGCATTCGACCAAATTTGCGTAAATATGATCGCAGCTTCCGAGCTCACTGTCTATCGTAGTCTCGCGACCGCAGCAACTTTTTGAAGAGCGTTTCGCCGAACAATTCACGAAATCCATCGATTACGCTAAAAATGCAGCTGTAATGAGAGTACAATAAATATATAATTTTTCTCTGACCGATATAAAAATCCCAATAATTACTCACCAAAAAATTAAGGTACAATTAACGGAAGATACGAAAGATTAAGTCAACAGGCCGCACGAAGTCTTCCTACTACTTAAAACTCATTTTCCAACGGCGTAGTGAGTTAAAAATAACTTTAAAACATAGGCTATGAGCCAAACGCATGTGGAACTTGTCTTGAAATGCGAAATTTTCGCTGCTCCAGTTACGAAATTATAGGTATCTTTAATATCTAGATCATATCGAAGAAATGTGCAAAAAATTTATTGTTCTGCACATAAGTTTGCTAGCACAGAAATGAATAAAAATAATTAATATTTATGTAACAATGTATTAAAAAGAGATTTTCTCTTTTAATAATAAATTCTTTCAGAGAGATAGGACTTTTTTAAATTAAGTGAACAAGAATTATTTATAAATAATTTATAAATAATATTGGAAGCAATATACTTTTAATATTAAGTAATAATTTTTTTCTATTTGAAAAGTAGGTGTATGCGAGGAATAAATAATAAAATATAGGTATGGATAATAAATTTTATTTAGTATCCATGTAGTGTAAAAATAAGATCGGCAATGTATATATTAAAGAGTAAGCAGTACATATATAAATGACATACAGACCTCATACAATATTTATTATACATATCGATTTTTTAATTGAAGTACTTTCTAAGGCCATATAATAATACTTAGACAAGCTCTCAAATAGGTTGACGATTACGTGACGCTGCTTTTTATCGCGTCAGTAATCGTTGACGCAGTTAGGATCACATGATAAGTATAGAATAAAATTGATTAATAATACTTAAGGCGAATTAAGTGATGTGACATTATTATTAATATTGTATATCTATAAACAATACTTAGTCTATCTACCTTCTTAGAACATTGTTATCAATACCGATTCTGAAAGCGACCATTCTTCATAAGGTACATATGTCAACTGACACCTTCATGACTAGTATTTAAAGATTGGCCAAACTGACACAACTGTGTGCTATTTATCTTTGTATCACTATCGTTGCATTTCTGAAACTTGATAAAATTTAAATATAAAATATCTTGATTATTATATCTTAACATATCGTGAATTTTTTGTGCTATTACCTCATGTCTTTACTCGAGGACCGACTTTGATAAATCCATTCCGAGATTTACCGTTTCTTATATGGCTACCGCTTTTACTCTTATGGTGTTCAAACAAAACATCATCAGAATCGGTGTCAGATTCTGATAATACCATCTTGTTATGAGTTGAAACTGTACACAAAAGGAAGATTATTATAACTTAATAGTTATTAAATAAACATGTGATATACATATTCAAGTATTTTTGGATACATCCAAATATTTTAGAAGGATAATTCTTAAAATGGTTTGAGCAAGAAACACAGTATAGTAAATTAAAATGTTTTAAATAATAAAATTTTATAGTTTTAATGCTTTTTCATCTGAATTGACATTTTAAGAAAAAAAAACTTTACAGTGATAATGATAAATAATTCGAAACACTGATTATTGTTGTCATTTCATGAGCACAAGTTAAGTAATAGAAAAGTTACGTACATGCACTGCTTTCATCTTCTGGTTCTGGTTGTAGTAGAGAATAACGTGGTGGTTTTTTCTTAGGCCGAAGCAAACGTCTTCTACCAGCGCATATCCTCTGACACAAGCAAACAAGACCCCAAATAAATCCAACCCAGCATATAACTAATGATAGCAATGCTATTATCACATACAAAATGCTCCAATCTGAAAAAAAGAAAAGAAATTAAAATATAATGTAGAATAAAATGTAAGCTATGTTAAAAAATGCACATAAAATGTATATGAAATAATTTAAAAGATATGTGTATATCTTGAGATCGTTGAGACACTATGTGTTAGGTAATGTCAGCAAACAGAAAAAAAAATTTAACACACACCGCAATTAGAGTCTCCATTACCAAAATACTTTTGTATTAAATTCTGCATCCAAAATGCTTCGCACAAGCATTGCCTTGTCTCTTGATCGCATACACCATGACCTAAATAGAAATCTACTTTTATTTCTGTTTTTTACATAACATATTTTTAGTTTTTATATAAACAATTTTTGCACATTTTATATTGTACTTAAATATTTTATATTTTCAATATTATAATATACCTGAACAATTATTTTGGCATACAGCGGTATCTATATTAGCAACCGATAGTTGTAAGAGACCAGAATCTTGTAGTAACTTTTCTTTTAGTCTTTTGACTACTTCTGGACTTGGTAATATTGTTTTTCCTCCCTTCTTTTCCACGTAAAATATTAAGACGGCCTTTCCAGTGTGTGGTTCCGCTCTCAAACTTCGCACGACAATCAAAGCTTCGTCTCGCAATAACATTTGCAGTTTTACTACCAACGAATTTTTTTGTGAAACAGTTAACATGCTAGCCCCAATGTTTAGCGTTAGTTCTACCAAATACAACAATTGCGGATCTATGGAATAGAAAGAGAAAGTTAATTTTTTTTAAGTTATCACGTTATAAAATATTTTTTTTTAGTCGATACTAACCGGGTTTCACAATTACTGATACGGTGTCTTCACTGCTCAAACCTTGATCATCCATTACTTTTAATCGAAAGACATAACGACCAGGAACTATATCTGTTAGCTGTAAAACAAGACAACATAAACATATATATTTGTACATATGCACATTGTATACACAATCAAATGGAATCGACATTTTAATTTTACCATTAAGACTGGTGATTTATCCGTATTTTGAACTATAGTGCCAATCGCAAGACTAGATTGATCTCTGGTCCACAACCATTGTCCTATCCTTAAGTCATCGCTCGACTGCGAGCCATTGATGATTAATGCGCTGATCGGTGCCGTCACAACTTGATCGCCACCAGCGTTCGCTTTCGGAGGTGCATTTTTATCTAGGAAATAAAATTTGTTGTAATATAACATTGCATAATATAATAATACGATTGGGAGACAATACTTACTTTGTGTTACCTTCACATTGACCGTATCCGAATCTGCGTTTCCATCATCATCAACAACAGTCAATTTAAATACATAATCACCCTTAGTTAGTTTTGTAATATTTGTGACGGATCCATTAACTGTAGCAAATTCAGCGTTATTAGGCCCGCTGTAACACGAACGATATATTTTTAAATCTAAGATACATGATATATACATACAGTAAGATGTAATTTAATTAAATACATTGTACCTTACTTGCTCCCAATGATACAAGACAATTTTTATGTCATCCTTACTTTTTGTACCATTCAGAACAGCGCGGGTTGTCGGTAATGCTATACTTATATCGTCACCAGCGTCAGCTACAACAAAATTAATTAAAATTACATAAGAAGCGGCACACTTTAAAATATTAAGCATCACTGCGTAGTTAGAAAATTTGATAGATTTGAAATATTGATAACAAAAACGAAATTTACCTTTTGGTGGTTTATTCGTTGGAGGTTTCACAAAGACATGCACTTCCGCTGTGGAAGATTGTTCAGAATCGTCTGTCACTTTAAGTACAAATGTATACATTCCTTCCTCCAAGTTCGATAATTGTAAGTAAGGTGTTCTTGTGTTCTGCATATCCACCGCTTTATTCTGATCAGATGGACTCTTGGTCCACTCCCAACTGGCTATTCCTCGATCGTCAGTACTTAAATTACCGTTAAGTGTCAATGTATTTTGAGGTAGATAAATGATAACATCTTGGCCTGCGTTTGCACTAGGGGGATAGTCGGTCACTTTTAAGACAGTTATATTGGCACTTGTCGAATTTGTAACGTGATTTGAATCTTCAACTGTTAATCTGCAAAAATGATTTATATCAAGAGGATTTATATAAAAATTATCAATGTTTTTATCTAAAGATTCGTTTCTACCGTGCCAATCGGTAGTGGTTTTCTTTTTATTCTTTAGAAGCCAGTATGTCGATCGGCTATGGTATAATATAGCATATTGTATAATTATATTAGCGGTAACACAGTTAGTACTAACTTGAATGTGTAATTGCCAGCAATAAGATTATTTAATTGAAGCGTGGGTGTATCCACAAGGTTAGGCTGATATCCAATTGGACCTTGTTGCAGTTCCCAATGATAAGAGATAACACGATCATCATCTTTACTACTCGAACCATCCAAGACCGCGCCTGTATTTGGTAGTTTTACAATTTGCGAAGCAGGAGTAATTATGGCAATTGGTGCTTGATTGATACGTTTCGCTAAAATAAAAACTCAGATTTAAAAAAATCAATACTTAACACACAAAAAAATTTTTTTTAAAGAACTTACGAGGTAAAACGCTGACATTGGCATAAGCTTCTCCATAAGCATTTGAACTGCTTACAGTTACCTTAAACGTGTACAAGCCTTCTGATAAATTGCTTAATTTAACAGTACCACGATTTTGATCTGTCATTGTTCCAGTGTGTCCCTCCGGTTGACTAAGCAAACTCCAAACGTAATTATAATGTTGATTAAAATTGCCGAGACTACTAATTGCTTCATAGTCGGTTTAATTGACATGCTGGTTTCTTTTATAGTTGGAACTTTTATTTGTTGTGTTACACCGAGCTCACCAGTGTCTATCTCATCTATCATTAGACAAGTACCTGCAGAAACAGATATAAATTATTAAAAATATAATCAATTTAAAACCGTATTTTTTAAAATAAACTTGATGTTAAAGAAAATTCTTATATGATAAAGATTTAAAAATATATATAAAATTTGAAAACATTCTATTAGATTGCACACAAATGAGTAAAACCAAAACATACCAGCAATATTCCGCTTGAAGCCTAAAGGACACTGACAAGTTCCAACATCGGTATCTCCATGTTTTACGCAAATTTCGTTATCTAGGCAACCTGAATGATCTATACAATTGATAATATTGATTCTGCTTGCTTCGTTAAACAGTACTTGATCTTGCTCTGTGCCATCTGTACTCAATGTTCTAAACATACATGATGCATTAAAGAAATAAATAATTATTTATTGCTCAGAGGAAAAAAATTGTTTAATGATAGACGTCTATTTAATTTTGTATTAAACTTACCCAACATTGTCTTCATTGATTTGATCCAATATATCACTCCATACTTTGTTACTCTCTACAGGTCTGACCAATACCATACTCGGTGGATTATCATTTATCAATTCAGGTCTGTATAATGGCACACATACCATGGAGTTCTCGCATTCTACATGATAGCATGTACCATTGTACATAAATGCTACGTTACACAAGGGTTTCTTGCAACAGGCCATAGCACAGTCTTGCAAGTTGGACAAGTGAATTTGTTTCGTGTAAGTTCCGCCAGTCAAATTTCCACGAGGTAAATAACTTGTAAATACTCGCTGATATAAATCTGGACATAACAATTGTACGTTCCACCTGGCATAATCACCGATACAGCTTTCAAATAATAATAAATATAATCCCAGGCGATATATTCCAATCATGTTAGCTAGTACAACAAAATTTAAAATCACATGTAAGCATTTTCTTTTTAATTTACAAGATATTAACAAAAACATTTTTCAAAATATAACAATGCATAGTATAATAAAAATAACAGAAATCATGTAAATATGGTATATAGTGTAAATAAACACACACATACACACACTACACAATGCATTATTTTGATAATTGAGATAAAACATAATTTTTATTTACAACATAAAACAATGCACTTCAACACATCAACATAAATATAAATTATAATTCTAATAAAACTATTATATAAAAAAATATAATTTTTTAAAATACATTATAAAATGTATATTTATATTATTTAACATTTAACTGAACGTGTTATCTACGATTGTAAAAGTGATATGTACAAAATGATGTTGAGGAAATATCGGATATCAATAAAGCATTCAATAAAATAGACTTCCTACCTGATTCTCGTTGTACACCGTTGTAAAAATAAATGGAACACTCGCGAACGCGAAGACCAAGCAGAAAGATCTTAGGTTACTCTACGATAACACATATGTCACCTCCTGCGTTTTTTCGCTGTCGTAAACCCCTCGACGATCCGTCGACGATTATTCGCCCGGCGAGTCTCACTTTAAAGCTTGCAGACTTGCGCAGCTTATCATATATTAGTAGCATGTTATTATCAAACAGCCTAGACCATATGGGTGATTATCATATTTCCTGTCGCACCGTACCGGAATAACGATCGCGCATAATAATACTGACGATAAAAACCGACACGACGTCCCTCGACAACCAAACGACGTTGCGAACAAAAACTCAAGAACTGTCAACTACTACGACCAACCATAAAAATATTGACAATTGTTTCAGCATTTTACTGCCATCTGTAATATATAGGGAACTAATACGCTGTCAATTTAAATTTATTCTTTTTATAGCGATATAGTGTATTATATTTTTTGCACTACGAAGTAGATATATTTAAAAGATGTTGGAGGGGAAACGCGAAGAAAGATTAAACGTATAAAAATTATAAGTAGCAAATAAATCTATTATCGACAGAAGGAACTGGTATAATTAAAGAACGCTGATATTATCGACTTCCTTCTCCCTCCAAAAAAATGCAATAATATGAAATCTAGAGTGCGTTCCGTTACTCGCATGATGTGCATAATGCATCGTTTATCCTTGTTGCTCACCAAATGTTAAACAAGAACAATAGATACATCATGGGCATCATGCAAGTTACGGAACGCACCTCTAATAGAAGTTCGCGTTATTTAAAATTTAGACTATACACTTATATATATAAGACATACCCTATAAGCGCATAATATTATTT